AAGATAAGAGGTCAATTTGACCTCTTCTGTAGACTTGTGAGCGAGAAATGAAACTTTCAGTGCAAGCGATATGGTCCGTGCTAGTGGGCTTCAAAAATAAAAACAACGAAATGAATTTATGTATTCAAAACTCTGTGCGGGTGGTTGTTTGACTCACAATATCGTGCACGATAATTAAGATTCATTTCATGTTTAGAAAAATTTTGTACTCCTTGAAGGGTATTGACTTTGTAATAACAAAAGTGCAACCACGATTTCTTACTTAACTCGCTTACCAGGAATAGTTTCTTCTTGTTAGTCTTTTCCCGTTGAAATATAAATTTCTCTGACTTCTCTTCCACTAAAGTGTTTTCAATTGAGACCACTTTAATTGGATTTTCGCCTAACAGATAGTGGTTTTGCTTATCTTTGACAAAAGCAATGAACAATAGTTCGATATTGTATCGTCAGTCAAGGTTTTGGGAAAACAAGTGAGAAAAAAAAACAAATAACTGAATTCTTGTACCATGTACCCTCGTGTAATGAAAACTACAACCAATTTCTCGCCCTACGAACTAGTAGCATTATATTTTCTGTGGGTATCTACTGAGAGTTTTGATCAATAGCAGTTTTTAATGATTTTCTCCGTGAGAAACTTCTCTAAAGTGAAAGCCTTTCCGCCTACGGACAATATCTGATAGTCTGAACTGTTCTTATGATTGGCTTTACCGATCAGGGCCGATAAGACTGGACATTTGAGTTAGTTTACATGACATTTTTCTCGCAATTAGTTTCAATATCCATCTTTCTGAAATCTATGATCAACTGTCACTTCACTTTCTCATGTGGCACATGCAAATTTCTTTCAGACATCAGATTATAAATTCCTTATCGAATTTGAATTTCTTTTATTTCCACATCCTTTAAACGCATTTGTAAAGAGAAATATCCCTATTTCTAAGTAAAATTAATTTGGTATTGAAATTTCATTCTCTGACTACGCTGATTTTCACACGCGTAGTACTCAGAATACATTTTGTTGCATTTGCGTTATGCGAGAAAGCGTGCACTTCGTCTTAGCTAATCGTAATTTCGACCGCTCACTGTTTTTTTTTAGTACAGAAACATTCCTTGTCATAGAAAAAAATTAAAATTTAAAGTCGGTTATTAACCTTGGCTGACGAGATCGCATTCTATGGCCAGGCAAGAGAAATTCGTACTTTTAAATTGTCAGGCAAAAAATTCAAGCTATGATTCTCCTTCGTCAGAAATTTTACTTCTTGCCGCTTGCTCTTGCCCTTAAATCGAATCTGAAAAACGTTCTGTTACATTTTCAAACTAGTAAAGAATGTCATTTGGTAAATGAGTTCCGCGTCTGCTTTTATCTAAAGAATGCATCGTTGTGGGAAAATATTTCAGTGGTCCTTTTGCCTTTTAATTAGTCTAGTTTTGACGGACAAGAGACGATGCTTATTGTTTAACAAAATCCTCAAATATTATGGCCCTTTCGTCGGCATTTTGTAATAACAAGGATTTCTTACCTTAAAAATGTACCCGAGACATTTACGCAAAGCCAGACATTCCGAACGCAAATCTGATCGTCGACATCTTGACTTCACCCAAGCAGAGCGTTATTGAAAACCTTACTGAACACAAACAGATTAGAATTTGTCTTAAGTGGCCCTGCATATGTAAGATAAATGTAAAGTCCTCTGATTGGCTGATACAGTTGCGTGGAACCCATTTGTTGCCCGAAAAGAAAACTTCTATGGAGGAAGTAATAACATATTGCTGTGAATGTTTGTTGACATTAATTTCCTTCAGTACATTTTGATGATATAGGCCATAGAACATATTATTATTGTTTCTCTTAAGTAAACTACCGACCATTCTGTGTCGGAAATTTTCCTCTCAGATTTGAACCTGGAATTAAGCTATACTAAGAGCCTCAGAGGCGTTTTAATTAAAAAAGCAAAGATTATATTTGATCCTGCAAAGTATAATTCTTAATATCCATACGAAATGCAAAGGATAAAAATTAGTTCATCGATTTAGAGCTTGAAAGGACGATGATAATTGCCATAATATCAAGGATATTCCCTTAACTGTCGATTTGAGCTGTCAAACGAGCTCTTCTGTAGTTCATTCGGAACCTTTGGTATTAATTTGAAAAATTGACAATACCGAAGCCTCTTTTGTTAGAAAGTTGACAAGTCTTTCACTTACTTGCCAAAGACATCAATATATTATCCTGTTAGGGCAATAAATCTTAAGAAATTAGATGTCTTTGTTTCTTCTAATCTCATACCGGGTGCAATGAATGCCCAAACGCCTTCTAAATATTCTTATTCAAATAAAGGTATTAACGTTAAATAGGTTTTCAACCAATCAATATTCTTGTTTTTTGGTGATTTCTAAGATACTCTGAGGCGCCACAAATAGTCTATACATGTGATGTCTACATAACTGGCGCTTTTCCACCATATTTTGATTCTATTCTTCTTTGACTTGATGTTTTTTGTCTTATTTTTGGAATCTCTTTCTCTAGTATTTACTTATTTCTAGGTGCAGGTTATAGTAAATTACCCAGGCTTCAAGGAGAAAATAACAATTTTTAAAAGCATAATTATACTAGCTGATCCTTAGAAGTCACATGCAATTGAAGAAATTGCAGATTCAGTGCCCTCTCTCTCTTATCGAATTAACTTTTTGTCTTAAAAAAACTGAATAATAATTTTTAACCTCTAAATGATAAAGAATAACCAAGTGACCCTCACAAGTGAACTGGAAAGTAGCATGGGAATAAATTGCATAGACCAGATGACGCATGGTCGAAAAAAAACGGACAGGGCTCTGATTCATGCTTGCTAGATATCCTGATAATGGCAAGGCCGTACCAATACCAACACAGAATGAAGTAACTTTTAGAGTGTATTTTTAGTTCCCAAGTAAAACATCTAATCAAAATCAGACGAAATACATATGCATCACGTTTTGATTTTTGGACGATAAAAATAATAAACTGATCCGTACGTATGACATGTACTTTGAAAAGCTAGAAATCTAAATTGTTACCCAACATCGGCATTGGTCGACTTCTTTTTTAGTTATTTGTTATTATTGTTATTATCATTATTATTATTATTTTCAGGACGCACTTTAAAACGCAATTACATAATCTTTTTTAATCTCTACCAATAACTATGTTCAAAATTAGAAATCTCTTGTTTGTTTATTTGTTTTTTTCTTCATTTGTTTCTTTGTTTTTGGTGGTGACTCAACGCTTTGGTAGGATTTTTCATAAAAGGCTGATACTATGTACGAAACTTGACGCCTCAACGGTGTGCTAGAGTCCTGGCATGCTGAAGGCGCCCAGATGTAACCACGGTCAGTATTTTTTGGACGTTATTTATATTAATAATAATTAATAATTTTATCAATTTCTATAGCGCATTTACCATGTAATGATCTAATACGTTTTACAACACTGTGCGGGGGGCTTTTCCAGACTGCCAGTGGCAGTTTACAATCAACAAAAGAAAAATTTTTACCGATCCCTCCTTCCCTCAATTCCCAGTGAACAGGCCAGACCACCTCACAGTAATCTCGTGATCTGGGTTCTTTAACGTCCCCTGCCAAACCAAATTAACTAATTGAAAGATGCAAGAGACGGGACTTCCGGCTTTACGTCCTATCCGAGAAGACGAAGCAATGTGAGTGAAGTGTCTTGCTTAAAGACACAACGTCAAGCCCCAGCCAGGACTTGAATCCGGGTCGTCTTACCCAGAATCCAGCGCACTGACCACTAGACTACTCACGCCTCATGTTAAACAGTGAGTTTGCACGGTGATTCAGCAAGAAAGAGAGAAACCGACAGCAACACAAATTTAGTGTTTACTGAGTGAACTTTGTTATTACCTCAAGTGAATCTCAAATCAAAACATTTTAAGCCTAATAATAAAAAAATGTATTTAAGAAATATATCATTATCTTTCACAATATTAACGTATCAATAGTATAGCTTTTGTTGATCATACTTTGCTACAGCTTTGATTATTATCTCAGATGAATCTCAATTTAGAGCGTTTCAGGCCTGATAATAAAAAAGATACTTAACAAATCTCTTTTAAACATCGTCATTCACGATATTAGCGTTAGAGTAGTGTAAATTTTGTTGATCATACTTTCCTACTTTGCTAGAGCTTTGATTATTACCTCAGATGAATCTCAAATCAGAACGTTTTATGCTTAATGATCAAAAAATATATTCAAAAAAAAACTTTTAAACATCATCTTTTACAATATTAGCGTTTGAGTATTGAAACTTTTGTTGATCATACTTTCCCACTTTGCTACGCATATATATGTATCAGTTTAATTATGTTTTTACTTTGTGCGTATGTGTATCAATCATGTGTCTTATTTGTGTTCATTTCTTCCTAACTCGAATTTTCTCATTATTGTCATTTTCTGTTTTGATTTGTTTATCCTACTACTTAATACTTCCCACAGCTTTCAAATGTATGACACATATCTGCGTCAAAATCAATCAGGGCATGGCATTGGTTAATCTCTCTTGCCCTGTTTCTATTTATTTTTTTTTTTTCAGTAGTTGTATTATTATTTTTAGTTTACGTGGTGGAGATAGAAATCAATAAAAAAAATCAAAATATTTTCGCATTTTTCAATGTCAACGGCAATGTCACGATGAGTAAATTGCAAGCAGACATAAAAACTCCTGCAAAAAGTTCTCGCTCAGCTTAGCGTCAAACATGGCAGTTTTTTCGATATAAGATTGTGGTTTGTAGTGTATAGGATGTATAGGAAGTCTGCGAAAGAAATTTTTGCTTATGGTGGCGTAGAACCTTTATCGACCCTAGGAACTTTTACAGCAGATGTCACGCAAGCTGGGTGTGAGTTTAAAGACGGAAGTAAGGCTGACTTCATAGTGGTTGAAGGCGGTGATCGTACGCTGTTGGGTCGCGAAACTGCCGAGGTGCTGAAC